AAATTTATAGATTTTAATTACTTATCTTATATTATAATATTTTTAACTTTTTACCTTAATAAATTTATAAATTTTAGCCTTTCACCTATACGAATTGAAGAAAATAATCTTTATATAAGGCTCGCTTATAATGTTTTATTAGTTCTGTTAATTAACTATTAACTTTGTTAGCTAATTGTTAATGTTCCGTTAGCATTCTATTAATGAAATTGACAAATAAAATTGAATTTAAATTTCATGTTTTCTGTAATTGATGCTAATAATCAACTAGCAGAGTTAATAGTCAGTTAATAGATCTAACAATCAACTAACAAAACGTTATAATTTGATATTAAGTGAAAGTTATTTTCTTTAATTCATACAAGTGTGAGAGTTAAAAATGTTATAATATAAGATGATGGGTTAAAATTTACAAACTTATCAAGATAAAGAACTAAAAGTGTCATACTATAATTAAGAGATTAAAACTTATAAATTTATTAAGGTAAAAGCCTAAAAATATGTTTTTGCTGAGGGATTGGGGATCTGAGGCCCAACAACGGAAGATGGACCAAAAGGCCCAACTCGATAAACCAGGGTAATGGGAGAAGCCCAGCCCACATAACACTGAAAAGAAGAGGATCTCAACAATTTCTTCATTCCCTCGCCCCCTGTTCGTTAGGGTTTATAAGGGAACTGTAACGATTTCTCCGTTCACATTCCGTGATTTCACTGAATTCCCGAGGATCGGGCGCCAGGTAAAGAAACCTAGTCACTCCCCCCTTTGTTTTTTTGTTGTGTGTGTGTGTTTATTTTTTCATGCGTGTCCGTACTGATACCGATCGCGAGAATTGGGAAGCTGTTATGTGGTGTTTGAAGAATTTGGATTTCCTTGTTGATCTTATAACATACCAAGATCATTTAAGATTCTTATTTTGAATTGGGTCTTGAATTTATTCATGCATTTATCTGGGTTCAATTGGTATAGCGATTGCCTCCAGAAGAATTCAGAAATAACACAGCCTTCATAATTTCAATGCACAGTGTTTTTTTAAGGATGAAATTTGCACCTTGCACGTATTTTTTTGATAGCATGGGTCTCCAGACTTTTGGCCTGACTAGTCTGCAAAGTCGAAAAGCTGAGGGATAGATCATATATGTGATGATTTATAAATTGGGGTTGGTGTAATTGCAGAACTTTTCATTTTCCATTATTTTTGGGTCTTTGATGATTTCCCTTTTATGTTCAATTGATGAATAGCTTTCTGCGGTTGCTTTAACTTTTAAAAAGTCTATGCTGAATTTTTAATGGCAACTGTAAGTAGTAGTCAATTCCAGTCTGGGCTTAGTACTGTATCATTTTGTGTTGAATTTGTTTTTTTGTAGTTTTAGATGGATAATGAAGCAGGTCAGCCAAAGCAGGAACGCTCAAGAACGAGGTGGACTGCGTCTCTCGATAAGATTTTTGCAGATTTGGTTGTACAGCAGATTCAACTTGGGAACAGATCATCAAATAATGTATTTGACAAGAAAACGTGGAATCACATTCGTGAAGAATTCAACAAGCAAACTGCACTCAACTTCAATAACAATCAGTTGAGAAAGCACCTGGATGTTCTGCGAATAAGGTACAATAATCTCAAGTCTGCTTATGATCAAAATGAGTTTTCAGCCATGGAGGAAGCCTGCTGCCTTGGATTTGATCTATGGGAAGATATTGGGGTATGTTTTCTCAACCTTCTCTTGTTTTCTGCAACTTTAGCTAGATTTTCTGATTTATTGTCCTTTCAGGCACAGCCTAGGCCTGAGCCAGTCAAAGTCAAGGATTGTCCCATATATGAGCAGCTATGTGCAATATTCACAGATTCATCAGTTGATGGAAAGTACGCCCAATCAAGTCACTTTGAGGGGCTGGACAAATCTGCTGGGGGTGATACTCCTTGCTTAAATTCATGTCCTGAAGCTGGAACGACATTATTTGAGAATCCATCAAACTCAAAACCAGCACAAAACACTCCATTGTCAGACAATCCAACTAAAGATAGAAAAAGGAAACGACGTTCTGAGACGCAACCTCCCTCAGACAATACTAGGAAAAATGGGGAAATAGCTGAGACTATGGCTGGAGCCTTGCTAGAAATGATTACTGCTTGGAGGTCAAGGGCAGGTACCTCAACGCAAACTGATGATAGATTTAGCATAACAAATTGCATCAAAGCATTGGATGAGATAGGAGAGATAGAAAATGGTCTATATCTTGCTGCTTTGGACCTCTTCGAGGACCCCAACTTCAGGGAGACGTTTCTCTCTCTAAATGGTAGTGGATTACGGCTTGCATGGTTGCAGGGAAAGTGTGGTAAGCCTACTTCAGCTTTCTTTTGAGTTAGGGATTTTCTTTTAGGTTTTTCCCCGCTTTTTTTTTTTTTTAGGGGGAGCATAAAGAATGTTATAGCAACTGTTCATAAGGTTTAGGTAATAGAATCATTTTATATGATGGCTGCATATGGGCGGTATGTTTTTAGTTATGGCATTACACGAATTCAAGACATGCATAACCTTGTAATTTTGCAAATAGGATTCATATTGTTGATACACATATGTTGGCAATGATATGCTGTGATCTGTCTTATCTCCAATTGTTGCGCCCGTGATTACCTTGTAAAATATGAAAGAACAATCACGCTTGTTCAAATCACAGAGAAAGTTGTTTCACTACCAAACTTGTACAGTTGTACGTTGCATCACTTTCTTAATATAACTTTTTTATATGTCATTAAATGAATAAATATATTTAATATTATGAGTTTTAAATAAATAAAAAAAAATTATTTAATTGACATATAATATTACACAAAAATATTGTATAAAAAAATTATTCTTAAATTATTTTCTCAAGAACATTGAGGGGGAAAGAAAAGAGTGGGATGTAGTACCACAGTCACACTACCGCTTCCCTGTGCAAAATCTGCATTTCTCTACACCATCAAAAAATTTTATATCCTTAATAAATATATTTAAAATATTGTTAACTATCAATCAAATGCAAAGCATTTAACTTTGCTTTACGAATTCATTCATGTTTTTTTTTTCTTAAATTTCCAATCACAATAAGCACAATGCAGAAAGCATTAAATCAAAGATAAAGTTAGCGAAAGAATGACTCGTGCGTACCGGTGCCATTGCAAGGGAAGCAAGGTTGTGCATTTTCTGAGTCATTTTTTTCCATTACTCGATGACATTCTTCGTATTTATTGAAATTTTTTTGTGGAGAAAGCTTACTTACAGCGTTATCGTCTTAGAAGACTGGAAGGCCGATTCCAATCGCACCGCTTACAACTCCCACTGATACGGCTACCATCTGCAAAATAATTACACGAATTATTCGCAATTACAACGAGGAAGAGATAAAATGAGGATAGAGAGAGAAAAGAACCGTGTTCTGGTCGAGATCAACAGCTCTAATGCATGGATAAGACGCCGGCGACTGTCGATTTCTCGAAATTTTGGAGGACGGAATCGGAGCATGGTGAGAGGAGAGCTTTGCGTGGAGAAGAAAGAAATTGGAGAGTGAAGACCAACAGTTGGTGGTGCTATTAACATTCTCTTTCTCTGTGAGCTCTCACAGTTGACGCCGCCGGTACCGGCGGCCCTCGCGACGGTGGATTTCGGATATGTGTGGGGCTGGGCTTGATATCCACCACCAGACTTGTGTGTCACAAACGTGTAGTGTTTCTCCACGTGGCGTAACGTGATTGGTTGTGCTTCTGCCACGTTCTTTTAGGCTTCCGTTTTTAACTTTTGAGGCTCAGTTCAAGGCTTATTGGACTCTTCATTTTCAAGGCATCGGCTCACCGCTCACCGTTGCCAGGCCCAAATCTAAAGTAAAGTACATGAATGGCCCTAAAATCAGAACCAAAGCCCAAAGGGAATTTTAAAATCCCATTTTAAATAATAATAAAAAATTAATAATAATGAAAGGGTTTGCTTTCTATCTTCTTTTTTTTTTTTTTTACTCTCAAAGGAATGAGGAACGGTACTTTTTTTTTGTAAGTGCGGAATAATAAAAGTTTTGGTATCACTTGCATAAAAAATAATATCTTATCTAATCTTGGATTTTAGTATTTTCTATTTTTTCCTTGTCCTACTCCTATCCTGTACCCATTATTATATTGTTGCATAAAATAACATTTTAATAAGATACAGTTAGATATGCATAGCTTGCTAACATCGGTTCATTAATTCATAATACGGTGGAGAAAAAAAAAAGGAAAAAAAAAGGACAGAGAGAAGTGTGTGAGAACGACAGACCACCAAACAAATATAATTAAGCCGCACATGAGGAACTTTTACCATGCTCTTGTGGCATTGGGACACTTTGTCCTGCAACTGTTCCTTTTTTTTTTTTGGTTGTTTCTGACCATCAACTCGAACTCCCGATTATTGCTGCTACTGAGGAACGTAGAATCCAAGGCTTTGGAATTGTAAGCCCCCCCCACACCCACATGCTATTGCTTCCTTTTTCCCCCCTTTTCTCTATCTCCCCTATTATAATACTTTATGGCTCCTTCCTTCCTCCTTTCTTCTTGGCCTCTTTTGCTTCGCTTCTCACTGACACTAAACAAACATATATAATCCCCATTCCCTTTAAGCTACAACCCTCCAAAGTGTTTCACGTTTCCCTTTTCTTTTCTTGCATTGTCACAATATAAATACTCTTTACACTTCACTTTAATCTCAATGTTGTTGGCGTGTTTTCAATATTAAATTGCAGAGAAACAGTTATTATGTTGGGAATCATTTTGACTTATATAGTGATCTAGATACCATCTCATTGTTAAGTATACTTTGGTGTAGCAAACTTGTGGAATCTAATTAAGGTAATTATTATTGGGTGATATGATGTAAATAAGTGTCTTTATAGTCAAAGAAATCATGTCGACAGAAACAGTTAAGAAAAATGAGATCCAAAGTACATTAACCATTTTCACACTTCTGTTTTTTAGTTTTGATATTAAAAAAATGTGATATTAGCACACATTTATATGATTGATGATGCGTTATAATTAAAATGAAGATCATAATAATCTCAAAGCATATATAATTGTATTGATAATGAACGAATCCTTAATTATTCATCGAATATGTTCTTTTCCACCTTAATCAATACCTTTTGAATATGGGCCCAATCCACCTTTATCCTTCATGAGCTGGACCTTTGAAATGAGCTGCTGAAGCAAGAAGGAGAATCATCACTATAAAATGAAAAAACTTAAATAAAGGATAATTTTGTAATTGATCTTGCATAAGTTTAAAATTATTAATGAAAAGAAATTATTTTAATGTTAACAAATTTATCTCTTAATTGTAAGATATTTTCGATATATCTAATTATAAATTATGTAAAAAATAATAATTCTCTCTCTTATTATTAAATTCCTCTCCACCTGACTTAAGGTTTAAATTTAAAATCTTTAATTTGAAATCTTGAGTTTTTAACCATTAAATCACTTTATTAAAATTAATAATTATAAGATATGAATACACTGCATATTACTTTTTTGTAAAAAAATATTTGAATAATACTTTGTAAGAGGATTAGGGTCAAAAAATATACATGATTCTTCCAAGACCCCATGCATTTTCACGTGAGAGAAAGGCTCGCTAAGTAAGCAAAGGTGAGAGTGAAGAAAAAGCAAAAATTAGGGGCTTTTAAGTAAGATAGCAAAAGACCTTAGGATGAATGTAGAATAGGATTTCACAAATTAAGGCTCCAATCAATATTTTCAAACATCCAGGGCCCCGTTTTCAGACCCCACTTTGAAATTTTATAAAATTTAAGTTCCATTCCGTTCGTTATCCACACTGATTAGTACTCTGATTTACTTGACTTTTACAATATTGCCACTGTTGTGGCACCAAAAATCCCGACCGTCCTCTAAGGGTGAAACTGTAAATTGGCCACGTTCAAGCAATTCAATTATAAAAAATAAAAAATAAAAAGTTAATTTAACTAACCTGGGACCGGGAGGTGTTACAATATATCGAGCAAGATTCACAATAGAAGAGCTTGACGGCACACCGAAACACGCGAACCGTGTGATAGGAATCAGATGGTAATGAATCAAGATCATCAAGCCATACCCGTAGTTCCTGCCGCAGAAAAAATTTCCCTTTTATTATTATTATTATTATTTTTTTGGAATTTTGGTACATTACCTATAAAAGAAAGAAATTCATATAACCTTTAACCTAAAATTTAAATCTCTTAATTATTTAACTCCCTTTATTTACCGAAGAATCTCAAACTCTTCCCTTATTTACCCGATAAGTGTGATTAAAACCCCACAAAAGGAAACAAATCCAGAATTTGAAAAACAACGATAAAGGACTGCTGTTCTCACTCTCTCCCCCTCTATCGCTCCCTCTCTCTCGCACAGCCGACTCGTAACGGTTCGCCGGCTGTTTTAGCAGCGCCGATCAAGGTACTCTTACGGTTTTCTTGTTCTTTTTTTCTTTTTTTCTTTCTTTCTTTTCTTTCTCGGATGATTGATTGATCGGCGATCAGTGTTAGCATCGGAAATTTCACTGGCATTTGCGGGGTTGGTAGGACTTCTCTGGAAGTTATTTTGTTCATAATCGTGTTTTTTTCTGGAATCTGTTTTTGCTTCTGAGATAAACTGAGGGAAAATGAAGGAGAAGATCGATTTCTGCCTGGTTCTATGTTGTTTTCACTTTCTTGTATCTGAAAATTTCGCTCGTTTTCGATTTCTACCAGCTACCGTACTATCCTTTTCAGTTTCTTCCTTCGGTGCTCTGCTCAGTGTTGAATTGCTGTTGATTTATGAGTTTTCATTATCAAATGAGTGCTGTACTTCACTTAAAACAGGCCTTATTCAACCGAATTTTCTTTTCTCGGTGACTGAATAATAGGGATTCGGCATCCTATTTCTATCTGCCGTAATAGTCTGTTTAGCATTTCTTATGAAATAGGCGAAATGACAGCTTCCATGACTGAGCATCTCGCACATGAAGGAAGATTGTAGTTAGTGGTAATACGATACTGTTTAAGTCTAGATCTACTGCATCTGAGGTGATATCTTTAATGCTTCAAAGGGAGGATGGAAAGGGTTTCTAATTCGTTTAGAGTGTAGATAAACATAAATATTTCAGCAGGAGGGTAGAGTAGAGATACTGCCTCTGAATCAGACATCAATTTGGTTTGATATTGTTATTGGTCCTATTTATGTTGATAAAAGGATCAGATATTCTTTTCTTATATTCAGTAGTCACTTTCGATCCTGGTTTCGGTCAAATATGTGATTTAACCTTGAGAAGTTTTTTTGTTTGTGCATTTTAGGTAAACAAAATGATTGGATCCTTTCTTACCAGAGGGCTTGTGTAAGTTGCCTAAGAATCTATTCTCTTTCTAATTTTGGGTGGTACTTTTTAGCTTAGATTATTGATTTTACTGTCAAATGTTCTTGCAGAATGGTTCTTGGCTATGCTTATCCAGCATATGAGTGTTACAAAACGGTTGAAAAGAATAAGCCTGAGATCGAGCAGCTTCGCTTTTGGTGTCAATATTGGTAATAATTGCAAAATTTCTGTTCTGAGTTTTATGCAACTAATCTTTAGTTGTAATTGAGTTTTAACTTCCCCTTCTTGATTCTAGGATTTTGGTAGCTGTTTTGTCAGTTTGTGAGAGAATAGGTGATGCTTTTATTTCATGGTAGGGAATCTTGAAGTAGCAATTCTACTTTATGAAGCAACATACTGGTTTTCTCTTTTCTCATTGTGTTTCTCCCTCTCGCTCTCTTAAAAGGGTTCCAATGTACAGCGAAGCTAAGTTGGCCTTCTTTGTATATCTCTGGTATCCTAAAACAAGGGTATGTATATTGAATTGATTTGTGGGGAAAAAAAAATGTATATTTATCTCTAATCCTAATGAGGAAAAATTTTACATGTGGAGTTGCATTATAATCAATTTTCTCATAGACTACCACTCCCTTTGTTTTTATTTAATGTCAGGGAACTACATATGTTTATGATTCCTTCTTCAGACCCTATGTTGCAAAGCATGAGAATGAGATTGATCGTAACTTGCTGGAACTAAGGACTAGAGCTGGAGACATGGCAGTTCTGTACTGGCATAGAGCTGCAAGTTATGGTCAGACAAGAGTTTTTGATATTTTGCAGTATATTGCTTCACAGTCAACACCAAGGCCTCACCCTGCTCAGGTACTTGTTAGAAAGAAGAGCCAAATCCCAATTGCATTTTTTATCCTCCTCTTCATGCATTCTATGCAGCAAAACTGTTCTTGTAAATTGTCCTTTCTTAATTTATTATTCCCTCAAACTGTGAGCAGTATGACTTAATGATTTTTTGCAGCTATTTTTCAGCTCCCCTTTTTTGCCAATACTGATGATTGTAGTGCTATCCTAGCATTAATGCTTTTGAGAAGTTTGGAATGTATCTAGCATGGTTGTGACTAGGAACTTAAGAGAGTAAATTGTTTAAAAAGAAATATGAAGATATATGCTGGCCTGAGTTTGTGTTATTTTGTTTATGGTACAGCTTTTTATTTCTATATAGTGATGCAATAATCTATCATTTTTCTCTTTTAACTTCAGAATCCACAGAGAAAAGGTACCAGGGATGGCCCGCAATCTAGTGCTCCAAACCCTCAAGCACCTAGCAAACCACAGCCAGAGACTGAAGAAGAACCACCATCTCCCGCATCCAGCACATCTTCTAGTCAGCATCAGAAGGAGGTGGCAGAAGAGGTAGGACCTTCAGAAGTGCCTAAACCACCTAACCCTGAGACTGTCACGGCACCAAATAGTCCAAACAAGAAAGCAAATGCTGCATCTCAAAGGACCCAAACAACAAATGCTGCATCTCAAAGGACCCAAACAACAAATGCTGCATCTCAAAGGACCCAAACAACAAATGCTGCATCCCAAAGGACCCAAACAACAAGTGCTGCATCTGAAAGCACCAGCGAGCCTACCCAAACTTTAGCAGAAGCAATGCAGATGGAACCCACTCCACCTTCACGCAGTGAAAGCATCAACCTTCCTCCAAAAGAGACTATCATGGATGAAACCATCCGGCGCACTCGAGGTGGATTGAGGAAAACACGCTCTGCAGTAATCCGTTAAAGAACGGTTTTAGTTACTCATTTAGATTACTGAACTAGCACTTATCAGTAGATGAGTGATAATGGCCATTGAAAGATTGTTGTCGACGTTGATGTAAATTTTGTCGTTTTCTACAGTTTATTCCATTCGTTGCTCTATTTTTTTGAATGTAGGGTAGCACCGTAGCATGCTAAAAGATCCGGAGTTGGATGAAGCCACCCTCAACTACGATGATCTTTTTTTTTTTTTTTTTTTTTAAACGCAATGGTTTGAAGTATTAGTATTTTAGATATGTTAGTGTATAGGGAGAGTATTGAACTCAAGATATGGAATGCAAATCACGGTCTACCTCAAAGGACAGCAAATGGCCGTTGCGTCACGCATAAAATGCCTCAAATATGATGATCTGACTATGCAACTGAGAGTGTGAATTTGACATATGGTTAGGTAAAGAAGGTGTCAAATTTATGATATTTGGTTGTCGAGTAGATTGAGTCTTAGATACCGCAGTTATTAGTTACTTACGGTTGGTTAGGAAAGTGCTTGCAGAGCCTTCTTACTGATGACTTTACCATTGAAGCTCATCCAGATGGACTTTGTTCTGACTCCATAACGGACGAAGTCCTACAAAATTGAAATTAGGTAATGGAACACTGTAAATAATGTCGCCATAAAGATGTTAGGTGATGGTTTTATTGACCTTGGTGCATGTGAACTGTATAGCATAAAAAAGGACTATCTCCTATTGGGAGTAAGTGGTAGAAGAAAGCTTTTCAATGTTAGCACGAAGGATCCGTTGATCTTCAACTCCAACCACCCAACCCTTTTCTTTATGATATGGTTAAATGTCAATTTTAGCCTTTCAGTTTTAAGATTTTATATGATTTTTATTTCTTAACATTTTTATGTATTTTTAAAAATTTTCAATTATGAAAATATACTTTTTTAATCATTTTAATCAATTAATTCGTTAATTCAGTTCACATATGTATATTTTAAAATTTTCAATTTATAATATAGATATTTTTTTATTCATAAACTTAAAGATATAAAGACTAAAATTATGTATATATAAATATATTTAATGAATTAATTGATAAAATAATTAAAAGTAAATTTTTTTATCATTGAGAAACTTAAAAAAAAAAAGTACATAAAAAGGTGAGAGACAAAAAGCTGTACCAAAAAAAAATTGTACCAAAAAAAAAAAAGCTGTACAAAATTATAGACTTGAAGACGTGCATGGTTATTCTCACATGACACAAAATTTTTTTTTTTTGTAAAGGCCCGACAAAACACTTTGTGTGGTTTGATATTTATTACTTTATTTATTTTTATTAGTATTAATTTCACTTTTTAGATTCTTTAAATAAAATTTAATAATTTATATGAATAATTATGAAATTTTTTTTTATATATAGTCTTGTTAAGTATTTTTATTTAAAAATTTTTATTTTTATTTTTTTTAAATTCATGTATAAAAAATAAAAAAGTCATACTATGACTATTAAAAATAAACGGATGAAATAATTAACAAATTAAAATTAATCTATAAATTGATATTTTCAAATATCATAACTAATTATTTAAAAAAAAATATAAATTATGTCAAACCAAAAACACCTATTATATTATTTGTGTGTTCTTTTGGGGCGGGGTACATTAAAGGTTTAATTGTTGGGTATCATAAAGATTTAAATCTTTTATTTTAATCCAAAATTAAGACTTTTAAATTAATAAATATTAATTTTATTAAATTCTTATTGATATTATTTGTGTGTTCACAACAAAACATTATGTTGCCATAACCGAGCCCACTCTTAGACTGAATGTTTATACACACTCTAAACTTTCAAGTTGTGGGCCTTGTGGTTGCTTCAACCAATAGGCTATTATTAGTCCAACCCAAATTAAAATGGATTGGAAAGCCCAATTTTCCAGGCCAGGAGGACGAGGACGACGTGGAGCCTCCAACAACAACGACCCTTTGCTATGTTGGCCATCGCCCCAACGGTCCAACCACAAATTGACCAGACACTTAACCACGAAAGGCCCAACCCACCCTCAACAGATCACCTGTCGGTAGCGAGATAAACGGTCCAAATCATCCCGGCCCATCAATCAACGGCTGATATGCTCCCTCTCACCTTTGATTCAGTCAATTTTACTTCCTTCTTGCACGCATCTCGCCCCCTTAACAGGCTTCTCCAAATCTAACCGAGGGTATTTCCGTCATTGCAACAACAAGAACCGCTCCTTTAGCCAACGGCGAAAAAACATAAAAACGGAAAAAACAGAAAATATCCCGCGTGAAATGAAATAATAATAATAATAATAATAATAATTAAAAAAAAAAAGCCAGTGTCGGTGTTGTGTAAGAAAAGCTCAATCTTTGCTAAATTTTCCCATATTTCGTTTTTAAGCCTGTCCGAACCACAATTCCCTGCCAATTTCATACCCATTTCGCCATTTTCAAGAACATTGTGTAATGTGCTTGTTTTGAGCGAGAATTAGGCCTGAAAGTTTGCATCTTTGGCCGGTTTTTGAGTGACCAGAATGGGGAAAAAGTCGAAGTCGAGGGGGTGCTGTGGGTGGTTTCTGGTGGCTGTGATATTGGCTCTGGTGGTGGGAGCCATTGTTTATGCGATCAAGAGGAAAGTCAGTCACTCTAATGAGGGTGCCGCTCCGGTTCCTGGACCTCCGGGAGCTGTCGATAAGAAATACTCTGAAGCTCTCAAAGCTGCAATGCAATTCTTCGACGTTCAGAAATGTATTCCTCTCCATTTCCCTTATTTAATGCATTTTAATTATAAATGCGTATAATTGCAAATGTAGCAATGAATGCTTGTAGATCTTGTAGTGTTCGTTGTTATTTCTCAACCAAAGTTGATTCCACCACAATGCATGCTGTTGATGACTTGAATGTTACAGTAGTGTTTAATTTTTGTTCCTCTTTTGGAATAATTGAGGCAGATTTGCTGCTTGTTCATTTGTGGGGTTTACTGTTTAATTTCATTCCTTTTTCCGTAACAATGGAGGATTTCCTACTTGTTCTTGCAGCTGGGAAATTAGTGGATAATAAGATATCGTGGCGAGGGGATTCAGCCCTCAAGGATGGAAGCCAAGCGCATTTGGATCTGTCCAAGGGCATGTATGATGCTGGGGATCATATGAAGTTTGGTTTTCCATTGGCATTTACTGCCACAGTGTTGTCATGGGCTATCCTTGAGTACGGAGATCAGATGAATGCAGTGAATCAGTTGGAATCCGCACAGGACTCCCTCAGATGGATAACGGATTACCTCATAAATGCTCACCCATCAGAGAATGTGCTCTATATTCAGGTTTAGCTCAGTCTTCACCGTTACTGTGTAGTGTAGTTATGTAGTTCATGTTCGTTGTGTATGAGTAGGTGAATCACAAAATTTCAATTAGTTGGTATGCATGCTCTAAGCATTTTTAAGGGAAGATCTTGAAGTTTAGCATTTTCTCTAATTTATGTTGACTAATAAGTAAGTTTTATACTTTTAATTTTGAGGCAGGTTGGGGATGCTGAGGCAGATCATAAGTGTTGGAACAGACCTGAAGACATGACTGAGAAGAGGCCTCTTACACAGGTGAACACATCTTATCCAGGGACAGAGGTTGCAGCTGAAACTGCTGCAGCTATGGCAGCAGCATCGCTGGTGTTTAAGAAAACTGATTCCACATATTCAAGCACACTGTTGAAGCATGCTCAGCAACTATTTTCATTTGCTGACAAATATAAAGCTTCTTACAGTGAAAGCATCCCTGATGTAGCAACATATTACAACTCAACAGGATATGAAGATGAGCTCTTATGGGGAGCTGGCTGGCTCTATCATGCAACAGGTGACAAATCATTCCTTCAATATGTGACCGTGGAGAATGGAAATGACTTTGCCAACTGGGGAAGTCCAACCTGGTTTAGTTGGGATAACAAGCTTGCAGGAACCCAGGTGATGTTTCCTTTCTATCTAGCTTAAATAAAGATCGTAATCTGAAATTTTAAGAAATTCTCCATGGTATTTATATGATTCTACTATTTTTAATGTGGTGAATTTTGTCTATGGTGATACAGGTTCTGCTTTCTAGGTTAAGCTTCTTTGGATCAGATGCATCAGGCTCAGAGAACTCTGGCCTTCAAAATTATAGGAAGACAGCCGAGGCTGTTATGTGCAACCTCCTCCCAGATTCTCCATCAGCCACATCCAGCAGAACGGACAGTAATGTCCTTCAAAACTATATACCATTTTCTTTCATTTAAATGCTATAAATGACTTGAATGCTGTCAATTATGAATTCACTACAAGGAAATGATGATGAATTATCATGATGAGATAAAAAGATTTAATGCTAGATTAAACTAACAATGTAAACTAAACTCATCCTGAGTTGTGGAGATATATCAATGGTCCTTATGCTGTCATTCTTGTGCAGGTGGTCTTATATGGGTTAGTGAGTGGAATGCTCTGCAGCATCCTGTTGCCTCTGCATTTCTAGCTGTTCTTTATAGTGATTACATGCTCACAACTCGGACTGCAACAATATCCTGCAGTGGGAAAAAATACAAACCATCAGACCTTCGCAAATTTGCCAAAACTCAGGTGTGTTGTCCATCTTAATGAGTTTGTATATTGTATGCAGACTCGTTTTTTTAATTCTTTTTGTTCCAGGCTGACTATGTATTGGGCAAGAACCCCATGAAAATGAGCTTTCTTGTGGGGTATGGGGACAACTACCCACAATATGTTCACCACAGAGGTGCTTCAATCCCAGCCGATGAAAGTCCTGGCTGCAGTGATGGTTTTAAGTGGCTTGATTCGACCGATCCCAATCCTAATGTAGCCATAGGAGCAATGGTAGGCGGTCCCTTCATGAACGAAACCTACATTGATTCCAGGAACAACTCAATGCAAGGAGAGCCAACCACATATAACAATGCTGTTCTAGTTGGCCTCCTCTCTGGTCTGGTGACCACTTCTTCTGCAGTTCAATCCTTCTCCTAAGGTTGCCTAAGTATGTAACCAATTACATAATTTGTAATATATGGTAGTAGTATGAATATGAATTCTGCTCTTTCTCCTTGCAAAAGTTGTGTTTGCCATGGTACATTCTTTGCGCCTCCCCAACGCATATACCTACTTTTTTTTCACACACCAGCCTCAAAGGTAATCTGTCCACATTTTCCACACAAGAGTAGTATGGTTTTCCTATAACAATTATCAAATTTCATGCCTATCCGAAACAGGAATTTCTCCCACGTAAGAGTAGTATGGTTTTCTTATAACAATTATCAAATTTCATGCCTATCCGAAACAGGAATTTCTCTCACAAAAGAGATGAAACCGTACTGTAACTGAGCAGATGAACAGTGTTTCACTACTTCAAAACAGAGCCCAATTTACAAAAGGAAAAGCTGCCCACAGCTGGTCCCAAATGGCAAAGGCCATCTTATCTACAGCTGCCACCACCACAACCAAACACAGGGAACGGTCCACTCACTCCTCTCCTCTCCACCATTCCCTTTTCCCCTTTCTCCTCTGCACACGAGCCACCGTATCTATGGCTCTTATTCATTCAAGCCACAAGTGTCCTGTACTAATTTTTCTTTTTTTCAAAAACCCCACTTGCCCTGTTTCCCTTCTAGGCCTTTTAATCTTGAAAGCAATCTATTATGAACAATTATGAAGCCTAATTTTCTTGTTCTCCCACCGTCCCACGCCAAAAACAACATTATGATTCAAGCATGCATCAAGTTTCCCCAAAATACCCAGATGCGAAAAAAAAAAAAAAAAAAAACCCCTTTCCTGGATATTTCCGAATTTTCCTTGGATGATTGAAAAAAGATCCTTCCTTTATTCATCCATCCCCCATCAATTCCTTTTATGAAAGCAACTCATAACAACCCTTCATTTCAAGAAAAACGAAAACAATATTCAAATATACACAATCGGCAATCACCGACTTTAATTAAGGTCCCTGGAATTGTTCATTCCGGTCACATTAAATCTAAAAATTCACAAAAGTACAAAATCCACAGCCAGTTAGAAGAAAAAAACTGTGGTGGAAGTGGAAACTTTCTTCTGTGCGGTCATGTTGGAGACTCACTAAAAATATACGGTCACAAATCATTGATCCCTGAAAAATCCTCCACCGGGTCGGGTTAACGTGCAATATCCGATTTTGCGGTGTAACCCAGTTGCTGCTCCATTTCCCAGCTTAGCTTGGAGGCGACACCTGAGTGCTCGGGGACATATTCCTGATCAAATTCAGAAGACCAAAAATTGACTGCTCAGATTGGTCTGAATCTGACGTGGACTGATGCTATTGGCTAAGAGGACGATGTTTATGTACCTCGAGTTTGGACATGAGTTCGTGGGCAGTTTGGGCAGAGACAATTATGTGACGGGCGGCCGGTGCTATGAATCCCTCATCAACAGCTTTGTCTATGAACGATAACAGCGAGTTGTAGTATCCATCAACGTTCAACAACCCCACCTGTTTTTTTTTTTTTTTTTTTTTTTTTTTTAATTAATAAAAAATAAAATTATTTCCCTTCTCCGAATATCTTGGACTAAAAATCACTTAATATAAATAAGAAAAAAAAAAAGGGGGAAATTTACGGGTTTGTCATGGATTCCAAGCTGAGCCCAAGTGATCACTTCAAGGAGTTCTTCCAGTGTTCCATAGCCACCTGCGGAACGTAAAGGTAAAATAAAAAAAAAAAAAGGGACAAGATAAATTATTAGTAATTATTACATGCGAGTTTGACAGTTATACAGACAGTTATCTAGGAAGTTGTAAATTTTTGGAAGTATTTGAGTAGGGGCAGTTGAAAATATGGAGACCTACCAGGTAAGGCGATAAAGGCATCAGCTTGGCGAGACATTTCAGCTTTTCTTTGGTGCATCCCTGAAACAGCTCTTACTTCTCCCACAGTTTCCCCTGTAATCTGGTAGAAGAAACGGGGAATAAGAGAACTCATCCTGTTTCTGAGATGATAACAAAATAATTTTAAAAGTGAAATTTACCTCTCTTGGCATAAGGGTTTTTGGGATTACTCTGTAAAAGAAAAATGAGACTAGAGAGTCAATAACAGAGAAAGAGAGGCTGAGGAATCTGAGGACTGAGGAAATGGTAGGTGTATGGTTACCCTAACACGTGGCGGCCACCGTCAAATACAGCCTGAGAGACAAGGCCCATCAGTCCAATGCTTCCTCCTCCATAGACAAGATCAATGTTCCTCTCAACCTGCAGCGGTTAATCATTAAGCTTTCCCATTTGATTCATGCAAAATCTTGTGATTTCTTCATTAGAAATCATGTCATCAAGCTAGTTTATTCTATTTCTTTCTATTTAGATCTTCAGTGTTAATTTTATCCAATTCATCGTCTTGCAATTGATTCAAAACAGAGAAAACAGAGGAGGTAAAAGAGATCAAACAGGGAAAGCTATGTTTCAATCTAATCAAAACAGAGCAGAGGATGCTTAAGAACCAATGTGTTAAAAGTTGAATTGAAATTAGTAGGATGAAGAAATCATACTTAAAATAACAGCTTTGTAAAGAATTAAAGCATCTGGGTATCTAAAATTTTGGACTTCTTTTAGCTCTAGAGAAGTCTTTCTTTCACTTGATTCAGAGATAAAGGAAACTTAGTTCCTCGTTTCATTGGTATAACTTCATGTGAGTTCGAATATATATATGAGATTCCAAGAAAATGGAACAAAAAAGCAAGAAAACAAAACAGGAGAAGAAGATGCTCTTTCTTGATTCTCTCTGTTTTACTCCGTTGCCCATGTGGGTGTTGAGAGAGAGAAAGAAGCAGTTGAGTACCAGTTGTCTCCCAAGTTGGATTGCAGCAAGCTGGTAGCTCGGATTCCTGCCTGGACTGCTACCGCAGAATACACAAACACGCCGGAATCTAGACTTCACCAAAGATTGTTCCTGTTGCTGGTGTTGTTGTTGTTGATTTTCCATAAGAGGAAGGCTTGAAACTATAATGATTAAAATTGAAATGGGTTTTTGTTTAAGGTGTGAGAGGGAAGTAAAAAAGAATATGTTGCGTTCGAGTAGAGCAGTCAGCAATCTTTCGAAAGCCAAAAGGTTAGGGGGAATTGAGAAAGTCTCATTTGGTCCCTTTTTTTTATCAATTCAGTGCCCCTCTCCGTCACGTCTCTCTTTCTATAATTCCAAACTCATGTTTAAATTGTACCAGAAAATTACTCTTTCAAATCCCAACTCCCAGGTCACATCTTAGTCCTCTATTTCAATTCGAATTGCATAATGAAAGTAAAGTTTAGATGTCAAAATTATCAAAGTTACCTTAATGAATTAATAAAAGTAAATAAATTTATTAAGAGTTATTTAGTAATTTTAGAGTATAAATTATACTCTTTTTTATGTTGTTGGAATAGAAAAATTCAACTTTCACTATTTTTTAAGAAAATTCTTTTGTATAATTCAGATCACATAAAAACTAACTATTTATAAGAAGAGCCTTAAAAAGTCACCTTCTCTTTCAATTTTACAGTGCAAAGCTAAAATGATTTATTTGAAATTGTGGAAAAGCTTTTGCATTAAAAGCTTGGGAATTTAATGCAACTTATTAATTCTAAAAGTATATATACAAAATAATAAATTTAAAATACATAATATACAAGTAATATAAAACTAAATAATATAAAATAATTACCTCTTGTTTTTGTAATGTAATTTTTTTTTTAAGTACAATATACTGATTCTCTATCATAAATTACTCATACTTTTTATATAATTTCATAAAAAGTACAATATACCTCTTATTATGTTACTGTATCTGAGGGAAGAGTGGGGAAGAGTTTGGTTCAATACTGTAGAACGTCTTTGTCAGTAGCTTGTGGCTTGGGCAATGGACATGTGATACTGTGAGTTCTTGTCTGTCTCATTTGGGAATTATATGCTCGAGGAAAACTGAAATGAAAAAAAGGGCAGTAAAGGACGATTCTTAGGGTATTTTGATTTGATTCGAGAGGGATCAGGGACATGATGGTTCCTGTACGAGATTGACAAGGATATGTTTTAAGTATGGTTAGCTGTAAGGCTGTAATTGAGGTAGCTTCTGTGTGCCGGGGAAGGGACCCTCTCATTTCATTTCGCTCATGATTTTCATATCTGGTTACCGAATAAATTTATAGTAGTTCTCTTTCGTTGGGTAAGGGATGCTGAATTACGACAAGTATGATAATTAGGGATGTGAATGACTTGGCTTGCTTATTTGATATTTGATGGTGGATTATAGAATTTAAGACAATATCACCTCTCACTTCGCCTCTCATTCAACTACATAATCAATAAAGAAAATGTCATTAATAATGCTAATGGAATATGATTAGACCTAAAGTAAGTAATCTAATAATTGGAAGAACAAACCGTGGTTTTGGGAAATAAATTTATAAATAGTGACCATTCTTAGGCACATAAGTCAAAAATATACATATCGAAAGAGAAAATTATAACTGATAACATGTTAGTACGAATGGAAAAAATTTGATTTTTTTAAAATAAAATATCAAGTTCGAGTTTTGTAAATGAAAAAACAGGTACTGAGAAAGTTTTTCTCTTAATGGAATCCGATATAACTCGATTCTAATTTAATGGAGATTCAATGTGGTTATTAGATACTGAAATGTTAATAAAAAAAATAAAAGAAAATTATATATTTGGACACAAAGGGGAAGTGGCTTATTATAAAGTAATTAGAAATCAGGAAAAGGGCCATTTCTTGGAATTCTTGAAGCAAGTAGTAATGAATAGATTGTTCCAACAAAGCAACTTAATTAGTTCTTAATTTTGCAACTTCAGTTCATATAATTAGTACATGATTCATCCATTTCCGTCTTCTATACTTGCTTAATTGGGGAAAGTAGGGCGTATATACGCCTCTTCATCATACAATTTAGATCCATTACGTAGCAGCTGACATCAAGCACATGGTACCCTCTAAAGCAATCTCGGAGGTTATCATCTTTCACATGATAAAGAAATTCGCTTCTCATTATACACCTTAATCTTTTTTTCTTAAGAAAAAATGTTTTGGGTCAAAGTAATTGTAAGGAGGGGGAGGTGGGAACTTGGACAGATAAAGCCATAAAGTAACCCAAACACCTATGGAAAAAGGGTTGCTTTCTAGATAAAAAATTAAAAACAAAAATAAATTAAAGAGATCATGAAAGTTGCGCTTTGAAAATTACCCTAATTTTATTAGGTTTAGGTAATTTTTCATTAGTAAAAAACATTATAAAACCAGTTAGATTCCTACTAGAGCAGTTCATCTCTTCTGCAACCTTATCCACCAATGTGGTCTGACCTCTCTTTAGAAAATTAATAATTATTATAATAATTGCTTTCAAATTGATTTGAAACTTTCAAGTTTCTACGGCGACCATGTTAATCACTGTCAAATAGATAATGATAGAATGGAACCTCCATGAAAACGATCTCGACTCAAAGCACCAAAAATTTGTAATTAATTAAGCCTACCAATCCCTACTTTACCCACCTTTCTTTCTGTTCAAACTTCAAACACTCATGCTCCAACGCCGGGACCTCCCTGCGAATTTTATTTAATCATCTTTCTCTAGGCCAACCATGTAACTTTTTCAAAACATATTTTTTCAGTATTTGAATCAGCAAACAAGACTAAGTTTGTCTCTTCAAAATCCATTTAAAAACCGATCATATATATAAATTGAGATTAATTACAAGAGTTTTGAGAAATTTTATCGTCTACAACAATTTAAATCTTAATTAATTAACTTGATAAAAAGACAAACTTTCAACTCTACTTATACCTAGTTAGATGTCCACCCATAGCTATAGCTTTTGGACTGCATTAATATTGTTTTATGTAAATAAACACTTTTTGTGCCCATAATTAATTATTTGAGGGTAGGATATGATAAAATATTATTACTACTTTTTTTTTAGGTATATTTAATAAAATATTATGTAATAAGAGATAAACATTTTTTACTTTATTTTTTTTTATTTTAAAATTTAAATTTAATACCTCTAATATAAAAAGTCTTAATCATTATGACTTTTTTTAAGGAAAAAAGTATTATTACGACTGTATTATAGAGAAAATGTTTACAAAGGTTGGACTATGTACATGCCCAATTACTACTGGATGTTGATGTTATTAGATGGACTTCCTTGGTAGAAAAGGGTGCGTGTGGTCCTAATAGAGCTAAGACAAGTTGACTACAATGCAACTCATTCATGGAACGAAAGAGTTTTCCCCATTTCTTTTTCTCTTTTGATTAGTTAAGTCTTCATTTATAATATTTCTTTTATATATACTTTTTCGTACAGTATATTATTTAAAAATTATTATTATTATTTTTAATTTTTAAATACATTTTGTAATACTTTTAAAATAATAAAAAAAATTAAAAAACTTATAATAACAATACAACAAAACATAATACAATACTGTTAAACGGAGGTCTAAACAAACAAATTATTGTAGTACCGTACTGGTAAATAGTAGTCCAGATGGGTTGTGCGTGTCCATTTCCTACTTGAATTAAATACTTGGTGTCCAATCAAACTTATCTAGTTGGGTTGGTAGTTGCCTCGTGTTTCGTCGCAGGGGGTCTTACATTTGTATACTGAAGATTTTATAATTTTAGAATTCAAATTATTGCCTCTATTTGCCAGCTGTTGTTTCTCCTCCAAAAAAGTCCAAACACTCATTTGTTTTTATTAAATTTTATTAATAAAATAAAATAAAACAAGAAGGAATCTCACTTATTTAATAAAGATAAAATACTCAAATTCACCCTCAAAGTATAGTGGTAGGAATAGATTTACTTTCAAATAAAAAATAGAGACAAACTCATCCATAAAATTTTTGAGTCGGACAAATCACCTTAAATTTAACGTGTAACATCATTTAATATCAACAATTTGTTAATTTGACGTTATTTGACGTCAACAATCTGTTAACGAATCAACAGATTGTTAATGTTAGATGATATTACATGTTAAATTTTAAATGATTTATCAAAATTAAAACTTTATAAATAAATTTATCTCTTTTTTCTGTTGGGGTTAGATTCGTCTCTACCACTATATTTTGAGGGAGGATTTGGATATTTTGCCTTTAATAAATATCCATGGCCTCTTGTTAAGCTGTGAATCTGACCCCGGTGCTGTGTAGCTGAATATATGACATTTATAATGAGTTAGAGTTTCAACTTTTGAGTGTTTTTGACTAAATCATGAAATCAATTACATAATTATTAGGGATCAAGTATTGTTGCATGGGTTTGGTATTTTGGAAGGTGCAAGAAGAGGAAACCCAAGTGCCTAATCCTTTAATTACTTTTTTTGGGTAAACCATTAAGATGATGAAATTAAAGAAAATTAGGATTTTATGCTAATTAAAATGTCAAATGAAAGATTAAAATACTTTTAATAAATCAACACCCACAAAAATTTTATTAAAGATAATTAAATAATTTTGTAAAAAATTCTAATACTTAAAATGTTAAGACATTTTTATCCTTAATTTTCTATAAGATGATATAATAGTTTAGCTTTTGTTGATTCTAATCCATCCACATATGCTAGAACTAGGGAAAATGAAAATAATCTTTCTTCGCCTTGGCCCACAAGAAAAGTGATTTAATTTACGGTTTGACGGTTTGAAACCCATGCTCATTCATGAACTTTTATCATTGTAATGATATATATAGAGGCTAAGATTTTCTACAAATTAAATGGAATTCGTGGAAGATGCAGAAGATGGCATTGAGTGATATGCGTCAGAGATGACTTTATTGGCCATCAACATCAATCCATGACCTTTGTTGCTTAATTTCCATGATTCACATGTTTAAAAGACTTTTAACTTCATATTTCTTCATTGAAAATTTTTTAAAGGATAATCTAGTAATTAAAAGTTAAAATTTTTAATATAAAAATTTTAAGCACAAATCTTAGTGGGGAGTGATTTGAGAAAATGAAGAGTATTTCCTATCATATAACCTATTATCTAATGTACAAAAAAAAAAAATACTTCATTAAAACTTGTTAATTTATAGTTCTTGATACATTATTACCATATAAAATCTCATATATATAGTTTATGGAAACTTCCGTATTTGATTCCACTGTCTACTACTCTTAAAAATAGAATAAATTTAGTCATTTAGTATATGTAGCTTTCAACTGACAAGATAAGGAATATATATACTTAAGTTGTTTTCTCCATTAATTACTACGAATCAAGCATACAAATTAATTAGCTTCTTTGCTTCTGGATCTGGACACGAAAATAAAAGACTAAGATACTTCGTTAATTAGTACTCTTGAGCAACAGAAAGTCATTTTTTTAACACAAAACTTAGTATTAAGCCTATGGACTTTTCTTGTTTTCTCACATAAGCCTGCAAACAAAAAACGTAGCAAGTAACTCTTATGTTAACAATGACCTTTCACCCATGTGATTGCCGTGACTATACTTCTCATTGAAAAGCAAGTGAGGATATCCTGATTCTTCAGATTGAGTTCTTAACTTGACATTTCTTTATATTTATAGTGCAGATACTAAAACTAACAATGTAAATTTTACATTCAGAAAAAAAAAAAAAAAAAACTCTTATGTTATTAATGACAATCACATGAGTTAAATAGTCATCTATATAAATATATATATTTTAATGGCATTCCTTTTACACCTAAGCGCTAGTATGGCCAAGGAGTCAATTTACAAAGATCATGACATTCGAAAGTTTGCATGTCACTTTTTTTTCTTTAAGAGCTTACATGAGAAAACAAGAAAATGCAGGTGCACAGTATTGAGTTTTGCTTTAATAAAAAAACAAAATTGATAGGTAGGACGTCATGGTTTTGGGTAAGCGATAATGGGATATTTTGGAATTGGATTTGGAAAAGGAAAAATATAGGGCTGTGAGAAGTGCTGTTGAGATGGGGCGTAATGGGATCAAAACTGTTGCTAACACATATTGACAGTTGTGGACAGATGTGGACGAGCTACCTAATTGCAAATATCAACCACACGTGTAGACACAAAAAGTCCATGTGAACCCAGAGCAATGGAAAGAGAATATTCCTAGAACTTGGGTGAATGAATCAGAGTCAGCATTCATCTGTATTTTGGAAAGTTTTTCTTTTTTTTTTTCTTCTTTTCGTCGTCGGCATCAATGGGGTCAATTACATACCCACCGATCGATCGAAGCTCTGGCTGGTACTGAGATGCAGCCTGCACTCGTGTGGTGTGGGCTAATGGATTATGTTAATTCCTTTTCAATTCTTCAGACCATGGACCCGGGCCCCTCTTCTTTTCATTTTCTTGTTTTTTCCACTGAGTTCATATTTTTTTTAAAATAAAATAATAAACAAAAGGAGTTTTCTACTTTTGATTTGGTAACTCAATATCAAAGCCACATTGAAACAAAATTAAAAGTAAAAGAAATGAAGGTCATGTAAAGTTCCTAGTGCATCTACGTTGTATTCTGTGGTTATTCATCTGGATCCATCGTAAATAAAATATAAAAAGAAAAGAAAAAATCATGGCATTTAATAATAATTATTAAATATGTGAGATATAATATAAATTTTAATTTTATTAAATTTATCATGTGATTATTATTAAATATTTTGATAATTTAAATATCAAAATATCTTTTTTTTTTCAAGTATAAAAGGCATGTTTGTATTAATTTCTTAATATTTAAAAATAACATTAAATTCTGACTAATCTAAAATTTATTTTTTAATTTATAAGATTTAAATCCAAAATTTTATTTAAAAATAATTAAACTCATTTTATTCAAATTGTTTCAATTCAAATTAACAAGATCATTGGTGTTTGTATTGTATTGTACACATTGTTTTGTTACTTAGTCTCAAGGCAAAAGCCCACTCTATGAATGTAACAATTAGCATTAATTCACCCAAGCAGCTAGCTCCTGGGCTTCTTACAAATTTGTACTCAATATTTATTATTTATTTCATTTCCACCCTAGGTGGGCCGAGCACGAGATGCTGTCGGTCACGGGCTAAGGAAGGCTGCAGTGATGGATCTGGTCCATTCACGCACTGGAATGCATGGCGATTAAATTTAAGAGAACTGAAAATTGGGACAAAAATAGCACAGAAGAGCTGTTGTTTTTCTAAACCCTTTCTATAGGAGAGTAGGATGCAGACTCATCTCTACATCAGGTCAGGATAGGAGGGTGCCTTGTTTTTGTAACCCTTTCTGTGGTGGGGTATATAGTCAGCTTTCTCTGGCGGATCGATTAACATAGCAATTTTTGCTTCATTAATTTTCTTGAGAAACAAACAGCTGTTGTCATCAGAACAGAATTTGGCAAGGACAGAGGAAGATATTCATAGGGATCTCCTTAGCAGAGATTTTTTTAAGTTGACAAAAGTATCTCAATTTCTTTTGATAAAAAGGTGTTTTGTAATTTATGCCGGCAAAACTCTAGCCTTAAATTAAGGAAGACCCATGGTGGTTGAGAAGAATTTTTCTATTGAATAGTAACATTTTATAGTTTAACATAATTTAAAATGTAAATGGTAATATTTTATAATTTAATATAATTTAAAATGTAAATTGTTAAATTTTTTTAAAATTAAAAAGTATAATTTTTAATTTTTTTATAGAGTAAAAAATATTTGTATTTTTTTAATAAGAATAATTTAAAAATAAAAAAGAAAAATTAAACTCAATTCATAAATTAAAGTCATACATAAGTAATCAATCTACTTATAATATATGTGTATAAAAAATATTTGTATTTCTTACCGTAACAAAAGTCACGGAAACTAAACAAGTGATTTCCAACTAAAAAATATAAACGACTAAAAATAAAAAATAAATGTCCAGTCCGTACTGACCTAATGACTACCTAATTGAATGCGTAAATTATGACAATATGTCTTGAATTGAATTCTAACTCAAAAGACTTATTTCTCCTCCTCAGATAATTCTTTCAATGTTCAAAAAATAAAAAATAAAAAATAAAAACTGACATGCTAGTGGCTAGGGTAAATCCCCTCAAGTACCCTTTTTTTTTTACTAAGTTTACAAAGGTGGTAATCGAACCCACCATGAGAGAGGAGAGAAATGTACTGCAAGACAGCCTCAAAGCTGCTTGGCCGGAAGGACTAAGTGCCTTCAGCACCCCTATTTATTACTATTATTATTATTTTTGCTCATATCTCCTTTTTCCCAGAAGAAACAAATCAACAATAGAGCCAACTACAATTAAGAGGCAATGGCTACATCTCTTTTAAGAAATTATGGTAATATTAAAAAATTTAAGAATGAGTTTTGACAACCTTATTTTTCATTCTCTAGTTGTATTACTTTTTTTTTTTTTGAACAATTTATCAAAAGACATGCTCGAAATACCCTCATGAAAAAAAAAAAATACACTTCAAGTTAGTAAGAATCCAATTGATCCGAAAGATTAGGTGCCTTTAGTTGTATTAGTTAAATAATAATAATAATAATAATAATAAACCTAATCAACAACAGGCTATCATACAACAAATTAGATGCGTTAAACAGAGATTACATTCATTGACAGCTATACCCAATCAACAACAGGCTATCATACAACAAATTAGATGCGTTAAACAGAGGTTACATTCATTGACAGCTATTCCCAACCGGTGGAGGTGGCCTCCTATTATTACGTTTTCTGTCTAATACAGAATTGGGGTTACTTCTTTGTTGCTGGTTGTCTCTCTTTTGGAGGTGTTCTCTGTGTTGCTGGTTCCTGTCATATTTTTTTATTACTTTTTTGTGGGTGGCTACCTTTGTGTTGTTGATTCTGCTACCGTTGGTGAGGGTGGTTGTCTCTTTGTTGATGATCCTCTCGCCCTCGCTAAGTTCTCTGGTTCACCGGGCCTCGCTGATGGTGGCCATACCCCCCAGATGTGTGTTGCTGATTGGTCCCAACTCCCCACCGCTGATAACCACCAGCATCAGTTGATGGATACCTCTGGTAGGCATCATAACTGCCTTGACGAAAAGGATAGGCACCGGCCTCTGCGGACATTTGTATAACAGGCCTTTGCATGTATCTCTTGATCCACCATTCTGATGAAGTCCTGGAGGGAAAGATACATGGCTGTTGGCAGCATATTGGCTATTTCTCTGATAAAGAGGATGAGACCCATTGTGAGAAGGGTTGGAAGCTGAAGGACTATAGGGTTGATCATACGCATGAGCATATGGGGTTTGCAAAGCAGGCACTGAAGGTTCATGGTGACCTGCATTAGAATAATCTGCCACAGGCGAAACCATTTTAGGTTGACCGTGATTATGAAACCCATAAGGGTTAACTGGTGAAACATGGGGAGCATTGGCATAAGCTAGAGGTGGGGCATGAATATCAATGCCAAACCCATTACGATCAACCTTCAATTGCAAACTATTCACAAGAAGTCGATGTGATGCCTCTTCGAGTCTATTTCCGGAAGCGGTTCCAGGGGGATTCTGCCTGAAGTAGAATGGGATCATAAATTATTAATGACAGATATATTCAACAGGGAAATGCAGTAAGCCAAGGAAACAGAGTTTTTAAAGAGTATCCAATTATTTATTGAAACCTAAAACCAAAAGCAAGTAGAGAAAACCTTCTATTTTCCCATGGTTTCCTCCGAGAATCTTCATGCCATAACTCAGGTTCAGGTTTCAGATCACTTAACTGCACCACCTGAAAGATAAGAAATTAATAACGTCAAAAACAACGTCGATCCTAAAAATCAGTGAATTACAATGAAACATGGGCAACTATGGAAAAGCTGAGTATTTTGCAGCAAAGCTCTTGAGTTTTGCCGAGCATGCTGGGAAGATTAGTCCATGAAGCCCATTGTATCAACAAACAAAAATCAACTCCCAGAGAAATTTTCTTCCTAAGCCTCCAAAGGATGATGCTCTTCAGAAGCCCAATAGGAACTTCTACACAGTTAAAAAATAAGGTGCAAGTTTAGCAGTTGCTTGACAAACCATTTTCCCAAAACGACGGTGGGGAAAATGCAATGTCTAACAGCATTTGGATCAACAAAATTCTTAACTAAATGAAAGCGCATTGCAGGTGATTAGGCAAGGGAAACAAATATATACATGAAGAATGACCAGGCATTGCCTATACTTGAATTAAAATTAATTACCCGTCCTTCATTACATCAAAAAGAAGAAATATCTAGCCATAAACTAGAGAACTGTCACTTTATCTCTTTCCATACCTAAGGAGGGAATATAACCCCAGCAGGCCGACCGATCATGTGCTTATGTGCATTTGGAAGTCTGTACATCCAACGTCTGATAAGCAAGCACAAGAGAAAAAGAGTTCATTGGTAAATCAATTAACTAAGCCGACCAATGCATCAATTCTAGAAACCTTACATGAGTTCATGGGCCATCACATCTTCCTTGCATCCAGTTGGAGACCTAAACACAGGAGGGTGAGTATCTCCAGCACAAGGGAAAATGTAACCATTCATCCCATCACTGCGTGTAGTCCTAAATGAATCAGAAAAAGCGGGAACATATCTTAAATTCATCATTGGTAGGAAAAGGAGACAGCAAAAGCTTAAAAAAATGTAAATGTTCCAAAATTTCACTCAATAGTAAGAAATTGGATAACAAAGATCAATAAACATGTTCACATAGATTTCAAGATAAGAATGACATTGGATTAAAAAGAAAAAAATCCTTATAGATCCTACAAGGTTGTAAAACTCTAGGATTGTATCACAGGGTTACAAACTAAATAATGAGAGATTTCCATCAAAAGTTCTATCTCATTTCACAGATTGCTAAGTCTAGATTGGAATGTGTACGTTATTATTAAAATGGCCTTCTGAACACAACATTAACAGATTTCAATACTTAAAAGTTAATAATTAATTGAAAATCCCCCCTATATCTTTCAAACATACTTTTTGAGCATTTGTAGGTTTAGAATTAGCTTTAATGTGGA